AATAATTATGCCAGTTACTTTTTGGATAGCTGCAAATGATGGACTCTGGCTTAAAGCATTTTTTTTAATGCAGTTATTATTTGGACCATGTATGGGACTAGAGGCATGCAACTGGGATATAACAAAAAAGAGAGGATATTCTTAGCTTGACAAGACTTTATAGGCCTACAGCATTATAATGGCATAAGTGTGAAGTGAAAAACGAGGAAATCAGCTAATCCGAGGAATAGTTGAGTGCCTGGATAAAAATCATATGATATCAGTAATTTTTTTTAAATTTAAAGCAATATAGGTTGAACTTCCAGCAGGAGAATTGCTGCAGGGTTTGTAGTCCTGCATAGCAATACTGAGACGGTCTTTGTCTCGTGGGGCAAGCCTCAGACATCGCTACCATCAGAACTTCCGTAAGGATGCTTAGTTTTCTCGAAAGACCTCAAGCAAGAAACAAAATCACAGGAGCATGTAAACATGGCCGTTGATTTGGTCCTGAGGGTGGGTGGAACAGAGCCAGGGTCCACAAGGTATGGTATTTGGGAAATACATCAAAAGAAGGGAAAGGATACTAAACAAAATGTGGTAAACAATATGTAAAAATAATCATTAAATCATCAACTTAGTGCAATCACAAGCAAAAATTGCAAAACACCTTGGGGATGTTTGTATACAAATTGTCCTGGAGAATTCCAAATCACTTCGATGTTGAGGGTTTTTTTGTAGAATTTTAGGACTGATAGAGTTGGCAGAATCACTTTCAAACTTATTGAGAGAGCCTGTGGGAGTGTTTCAATGGATTTTGCACACCGTGGTTCATGATGTGGTTCAAGAGTTTGAGAAACTTTTATTAAAAACAACTTCAAGAAGTTTGGGAAATCTACATTAAACAGAAACAAATGCGTTTCAGCCGGTTCGTTAGTGTGACTTCCCTTCACTTTAAAACACGCCAACTGCACATTAAATAGCATTGAAACCACTGGAACTGGAAGTTAACATAATTGAGTGTTTATCCAATGGGCGCAAGTACATGTATTTAGTGGCGTTTGTATATGGTGTAAATCGAGGACACACATGTGCAACATCATCGGTGAATCGAGGACAGGAACCAAATCGAGGACGACCTCGATTGAAAACGTGTACAAAACCAATGGAGCTGTTGCAAAAAAGTTTAGAGTACAAACAAAGGAAAAGGGAAGAGGAGCAAAATCCTCGATTTACACCATAAACAAACGTGTATGTGTGCGCGCGTGAATGACGAAGTCACTAACGAACCGGATAGCGGTTCACACATTTTGCTTATGAATTTTTAAAAATAAACAATAATAAAAAATAAATAGAATATGGCAAGGTTAGCAAGTTTTGGGATATCTGCACTGAACCAAAGTAATTCTGAGAAAATACTGTGGATTGAAACAAGGTCATACTATCACACTTTGTCATATTACATGTACATGTATATACTCTGCATATTTCATATAAATGAAAAATTTAAATGGTGCTAAAAAAACTTTAAATGGGAATTACTCATGATGAGAGAAATCTGAGTTACGACCTTGTTGCACTGATGCCACAATATGTACAAGTCTTTCCTAGGGAAAATGGATAATCCAGGCCAGCCCCGTTCCAGATGTACCCCTACCCGGTACTTCAAACTTGACCGGACTGAAACAATCTGATAAGAGATCAAGTCTTGCAATTTCTCAGTTCACCCAAAGAAAGACAGGAAACTAGACTTACTCTGCGGAACTACGGAACTAAAGGGATTAGGATTCTACAGGAGTGAGGCGAAGGTGGAGGGGAGAGGGAAAACAGGAAGTCAGCGCTTGGTGAAACGGAGAACGATCGTTACCGGCGGTAAAAAGAGCATACAGGCAACATGTGTGTGGGTAGCGCTCATGTCAATCGCTTAGAGGTCTCTCAAACTGTTTTGGAGATTTCATCTCTCAGTAGAGAATTTGCAGAACAGTGTTAAAAAGGCAAAATGAATTTGCAGAACAGTGATAAGAAGGTAAATTGTGAATGCGAGAGGAAACCTATATACAAACTTGCCAAATGGTGTAAACAACCTTGTAACTCGGATGAAATGGACAAGTACAGGCATATTTTTTTATAAATTTGCCTCAGGAAATGTTTAGGTTTATAGAACTGAGTTCCAGTTTTATTTCAAATTCAAGTCACCCTATACTCAGTATACTGAACATAATTATGTAGAATCCTAAATAATTCCTACAATCTGCAATTCCTTAATTAGAGAAGCCTATAATTTTCTTAAATGTACTAAACAATATGTAGGCCTACTTTGGCTATAATTTTCAGAAATGGATAGATTTGGGGCTTAATTTTTTTGTAGCAAATATTGTCACACTGACCTGTTTAAAGTTTTGTGTTCATACTCATAGCTGGAAAAACCAAGAAAAAAATGCTGTTCTTGTAGTTTGGTTCCCTGACTCTAATTCAGATGAAACAGAGCAATTTATAGACATTTGGGAATTGTCAGCTCAGGGAACCTGAGTAGCTGGGTTGTACCCATTTATTGATGTGTAACCGATTTCAAACAAAATGTGGACTAACTCTTTTTCCAACGATGGTCAGCCAACCATCGTTGGAAATTGATGCAAAAAGTCCACTTTTCTTGAAAATAACAGCATACCAGGTGCCATAATTTCACAGGATGTTTGTGACTATCATTCACTAACGGTCAAGTAAGGTATTTCACAATAATGTGGTAATTTCGTTTTTGATGCTTGCAAATGTTGTACCAGTTTATTACCTTTAACCATTCAAATGCTAATTCTCTTCACACCACTACACCTTTTTACAGGCCATTAAAGCAAGTTCTATGAATAATGACCAGTGTACTCCCTTTGACTTTTTGGGTCTTCTAATAGATCACATTGTCCCCCCAGGGAAATCTGGGGCCAGCAGTCAGTGAAGAATCTCCCTTGTCAATGTCATGGGTTTTTTTAGACCTGACCTTATGTGACCCCTCAGAGGGCGAGCTGGCACCCATTGAAGACACCCCTGGTCCATGGACAGAGTGCTAAAGGCCACAGGCGGGGAAATACATGTTTCTGGGTCCCTTGATTCGAATTTGTATACTCTAAAAGATTTTAAAGTAGCACACTATCCACAAGAAAACACCGTGGCCTAGTTTGACAGGCCCAGTTTGTGGGTTCAATGAAATGTCTCTTATTTCTGAGGGTTTTTTGAGGTAGCGGTGGGGCGGGTGTTAGTTTACAGAAAATCTGAACCGGAAATTAACTTTATTTTATTGGGAGTACATGTACATGAGTTTTGTTTTGAAGGCCAGATGAAATAGAAAAAATCCCAAAGATTAGATTTTTGTAAAATTGCGCAAATGTTAACAATAGGATGCAAATGCAAGAAAAAAAGGTTTCAAACTAAAATAGGGGATGATTTCATTTGAAAATAATGGTTTATACTTGTATTTGTACACATTGAGTCATTTGATGTCAAAATTAAGATTTCAATGAATTTTTTGTGAAGTATAAAAAAAAAATATAAAAAAAAATAATTAAATTTCATATAAATTTGCATTTTTTATTGGGAGGGGGTTGTATTTTTACTTCACATTTTGGGCACTGTTTCTCAGACCCACGTAAATGAAAGTGTTGAAAACTTCCCGCCATTTGCAAACCTGTCAAATACTGTTTACCTATTCTCATGGTTCTATACAGCACACTGCTGCAGAACCACACTACAAAGATGAACCAACGGGGAATGGGGCGCAAAACGGACAGAGAGATGGGGTTGAAGCAATTTGAGAGGGGAACCATTGATGAGAACAATGATGATGTGGACGGAGAGATGGGGTTGAAGCAATTTGAAAGGGGAACCATTGATGTGGTTTCGTAGCAGAAGAGGGCTTAAGTCTGGGTCAATATTTGTCCTCTCGATGGTCGCTCGAGTTGACCCATGGGATCATCTGAGTGACTGCAGGGTCAGTGCATTGACCGGTGATGATTGACAGATTTTTTTGGAGTAATGCTGGTCAGTTTACTTTTTCCTAGAATTTTAATATGCTATTGTAGTTTATTTTCTATAATAAATCTTGACTCTAACAATCTCTTTGTATAGCAGGTGTCAAATACGTGACTTGATATATTTTCTTTTTTTCATAATTAAAACTAAACAAATAAAATATTATTTTGTGAATTTTGATCAAAAACCTTGACTCCAACAATAGTCTTTGTACGATATCTGTGGGCGTCACTACATGGCTTGATGTATATTTCACTTTCATAAATAAAAGTAAAATGAATGGAATATTTGTGTGATTTTTTTTTATAACTCTTGACTTCAACACTAGTATTAATTTGTACGATACGTGTCAAATGTATGGCTTGATATTTATTTTTAAAATTAACATCAAATATTGAAGCACCAGTCATGTTTTTCAGGGGAACAGATTTTTAAATTTAAAATCAACAATCCCATAAAAGGGTTTTAATAAAATATTGGAAAAGAAAAAGTCGCTCCTCAGCAATAGCACCAAGCCGTATTTTAATGTTACAAAAAAATTTCAGAAAAAAATTACAGAACTTTCTGAAAATAGTTTTATCAAATTTTGCCAGCACTGTCTACAAATAAATTTGACTTTGCAGCCAAATACATATACACTTTTTTGACTACCCTTCATTTTGTCGAGGGGTAATAATAATTGATGATCAATGAAGAACATAATTAAAAACTTTTATCATGTGAAAATTCTTACCTTGTCCACGAATGGAAGTTTGACTATTTGACCACGTTTCCAAGGTGATATGCAAGTCACGTCCACCAGGAATTGGTTGTAGTGCCAAAATCTTGGAGGAATGTACAGCATCTCCCCTGGATTGAGAACAGCCTCTTGGAAAAATGGATGAGGAGAAGCGATCCTACGTCCACCAGAAACTGACAGAGAAACTAGTGGTGAGGAATCTGATGTAGTACCAGCATCTTGGAGGAATGTACAGCATCTTCCCTGGATTGAGAACAGCCTCTTGGAAGATGGACGAGGAGAGGGGATGCTACATCCACCAGAAACTGACAGAGAAACTGGTGGTGAGGGATCGGATGTGGTGCCAACATCTTGGGGGAATGTACAGCATCTCCCCTGGATTGAGGACAGCCTCTTGGAAGACGGCTGAGGAGAAGAGCGGGAAGCGGGACAAGTCTGGGTTTTCAACATCAACCTAGAAAGAAAGTTACAAAAAGTTACAACAAAATTTGAAATTTATTGCAAACAGAAAGAGAATTCTATTACAAAGCATTTTGTGAGCTTTGAGCTATAAAGGTGGTGCACAAAAAGACCCTTAAGTGTTGGATGAGGGCATTTCCTGTCATTTTTAGTTGATCACTTGCTCTCAGATGTTGCTATTCCACATACTTTTAACAGAATGCATTTAAAATGAGAAAGTGGGCCTTGATCTCTAAATGAGCATTTTGTTTTCGTAAAAAAAAACAGAACTAATTATGGACAAATCCTATTACGATTGCAGACCAAGAGGGCCATCCCGACCCAGCCAAATGTGAAGGCCCTGCTTTCAATAATACAAGCCAAAAATCTTTGCTAAATACAGCAGAGAATTCTGTGTTAATGGCTAGCGACTTTCATGGCTTTATAGTAAGAACTTTCAGCTGGGTCATACCGGTATGCATACAACCACTAACTGAAAATTCGGTGCTTACAGGGATAGAGCAGAATTTCTTTGCTTGCACTGTCTAACCCATTAATCCGTGTACTTCCCTAAAGTGCCCTATCCGTTAATCCTTTTACTGCCAAAACCATCCCAACGCTCCATGGTTTTATCGGTCAATTAAAGAATAAATACAGTGCAGTACAATGTAATACAAATATGCTAATGGGAGAACAGCCATCAATTGATGAAATTAGGCACCATTCTCTTGAGAATAGTTACCCAACCACCTGACAGTATGACCTCAATTTACACTCTTAGAACAAATATTGTAGGGAGAAGCTTCACCACTTTGTAAGTAAACACAAACCCTAAAAGATCTCAGGAACCACAGGGGTATTGTCGAGCAAACCATGGTGACCACAGAAGTGCAAATGACCTCAAGGGAATGACATTTGACCCCTGTGACCTTTACACAGCCACTGTGCTTTATACTAAAACTTTTCTGTGAAAAACATTAATTGGACTTTGCCTTTCTGTACTTCAGAACTGATTTCTGATTCTTTCTTTGCAAGGCAATTTGCCGATAGTTCGAGATCTGTTCCCCGATTGATACAGGATGTGGAAAATCCGAGACATTTCTTGAAGAGTTTGGAACACCACATTTTTGGGGTCACAAACTTTTTTGGAATGAAAGAGAAAATGAGGCTTGCGTCTGATGAATTGGCTGTGAAGTTGTCGGGTCAACTCCCTTGCATCAGAAAAGGAAATGAATCAGAAAATTTGGAAAAGATCAAAAGTAAACAAAAAGTCTCTTTTTCCCATCCAAACAAAATTGGGAACTGTTGTTGACACAATATAGTTCTGACTGTATGCTCTGTTGATCAAGAAGAGATTTCAATTGTCAGGACCAGGAACTTCAAACAGATGTGGATTTACATTTTGTTTTTTCACAAATGATTTCTGACAAAGACAGGGGGTGGGCGATTGTGGGGTAATTGTGTCGGAACTTAAAGAGATGTGTAAAGTTTCATCCTTGATTTCTCATGCGCGACAATGAAAAGCCATCAAGCGAGACTTCGTCACAAACTTTCCCGGGATAAATTTGGGGTTAAATCTTATTCAAAGAGGGTTTATCAGCTTTGGTAAATTTCAAAGGTACATTGAAGTGCACAGATGGTGCATTTGTAGTTGCTATAGCATATATCTTTGTCCAAATAATGACCAAAAAAGAGGGTGCCAAGTTACACAAGGTGACTGTGTCCAACCAAAAATATTTCGTTTAAGGGTTCAGAGATGTTGAAAATGAGGTTTTTTTAAATGAATTTTGACAAATTTAATTGCTGCAATTAAGTCTAGTTTATGCTCTGCACTCCATCTGTTAACAATAGGGGGCGCTATTTATTAAGCTATCCGTAAGAGGGTGTAAAGGACATCTGGCTGGTTTACAACTCACGTACACAATTTAAAATGTATATACATGGGTAATATACGCGAAATACCAGTATGTGTGTTGCAAGACAGCACCAACAGTCCTTCAAGTTATTGTCTATTTCTCATTTTCACCAAAGGGGGTGGGTGGGGGGCACTGATCTCTATATAAAGACTGGATAGCTAATAAAGAGCCGCACAATGTACAAATTTGACGCCATATTGGTGAGACCGGCTGGTGATCTACAAAGGACAAGTTGTTGTTTTTATAGACAGCATGATTTCTTTTGTAACGTCGCGGTTCACTTGACTTATATTTTGACCAACATCACTGACCAAGGTTAACTACAATTTTTCTAACGTCGTGGTTACTAAAATGCCGCAAATATAACTTTTTCGGCGTTTTGAAATAATAATCACTACGGAAATGTGTCCCTTTTAGAACATCATAACATGTGTACGTGACCAAAATGCACGTCAACTGTTGATACAACGCGCGCGTATTTACGTGTAGAACGTTCGTATTATACGCGGCCATCTTCGTGAGACCGGGGGCGAATTGGTCAATATGCAAAGTCTACTGTGTGAATGTTGTATGCATATCCGCTATCCAGTCTTTATATAGAGATCAGTGGTGGGGGGTGGTGGGGGGTGGGGGTGAGGGGTTGGGGGGGGTGGGGTGAGGGCGTTCTTGTGCATGGGGCTCATACTTCAAGGACCTACATGTATAATGGTCACCTGCATAATACGGATCTTTATGCCAGGATCTATTGTTTAACGAAAACTTATTTAGCTAATGGCACTTGTGTTATGAATTACGGCACTTCCTTTGATTCACTATTTTTAATGGATTTGAGGAACAGGTCCAATTTGCTCACAATTGTTTTGGTTTGCTCCTCAGGAAATGTGTCTAGCATCCATCACAATTGTCTACCTCGATTTAAAAAAATGGTCCCAAGACATAAAGACAAATGTGCGACCTGCTCCAACAAAATGAGTCATAAGTCACTAAGGTTGCAAACTGCCCTCGCTGAGCCCATAAGCCTCAATTTGCAGGATTGGGTTGAATACAGAGAAGGGTCACTTTAGAAGGAAACATTTGGAATTAATGAATTCCATGTCGCGATATGATGCAGTGAAATCAATGGCAGGAACTCCAGTGTCTGGATTCTTTCTTGAATTGAATAATATTGTCATACAATCATAAATCACAGATTGATGCAATCTGGAGGGGGAGGGGCAAGGAAGAGGAAAGAGGGTGGAATAGGTTCAATTGGGTTAGACGCACAAATGTGGGTTCGAGTCCCATCTGAGTTAGCTTGTAAATATCTTTCACACGAGCTCTTAGAAATCAGTGAGCATACAGAAAAAAAAACCCACTGACAAACATGAAATCACTGAAGGGCAAAGCCCAATATCAAGTCCTTCAAACATCCTATGAAATGTAGTATGATTTACTCAAATATGAGAGTTTTTCCTATGGGGCTGGTGGGGGGGGGGGTCCTAATAGTGGTGGGAGATATCAGAGATTTCAAAATCTGGTTATCCCAATTTTTTTTCAAACCTAATAATCTGATTTCACCAGAAGTTCCCGTTCAACTCACAGTCAAGCCAGCAAAAAGTGACAAGCGAGGTGCTGCATGCAATGCAGGCTCCACAACGATTGGGTATAGGTACATGTAGAAGGATTACAAAACACTCCAGAGCTGTAATGTTGAAAAAATAATAGGTTTGGAACTCTCTGATCGGTCAAATGGGCAGGTTATTCATGAACCAAGAATAACCTAATAACCTGCAAGCGAGTTAATGCAGTTGCAGCCAGAGACCATGGAGCAAATTGGGGGATGTTACAGAATTGTTTTCTTTAGCTTGTGTCACAAAAAAAATTGTTAGTTCCTAGTCCCCCTCCCCATAAACTATTAACATATTAATGCACAGCCAGGCATTCGTTTTGGCGGGTTCTTCATTTGAACTCGTCCCCTGAAGGCCATGGTTCGAATCCTGCCAAGGCCATGTAGTTTTCAATTCCCTCGTACCTGAAAGCACTAATAGTCAGTTTTACAATTAGCCCTTCAGGATATTTTGCATCAACAGGTACAAAACCACAAGTAATTTGTTTCTTGATTAGCAGAAATAAAGCTGGAACAAAGGACAGATGGTCTTTCAAAGCAACCTGTCTGATGCTTAACTGGAAACACACCAGAGTGTAAAAGTACATGTACAGTACATGTCTGTGAGAGACAAAAATATACTAGGATATACCGACTGGCGTCTTGTTGTTGGAATTTCAAAAGGCCGGCCGTGTCAGGTCATTTTCACCCCCTTAAGCGACGCTCCTGTTTTTTAACCCCTTCTAGCTCCGCGGAACAATTACCCGGTCATTATACCAGGTGTGGCTATTGTGTGGTGCATAATGGACTGATTCCAAAGTGTCTGCCGGCGATAGAGTCAATTTCTACTAATCCCTCACTTACTGACTCCGACAAGGATAACCCGCGGACATAACGCCGACTTTTGACGCATTTATTGTCAAATTTCTCCCGGTTTCAACTCCAATTGTGCAGAGCTGTTCCAGATTTGTCGATAACACAAAATCCGAGCTGCTTTTGGCCGAGAGGAAAAAGAAATGTTCGGGAACTTGAGTGTATGCTTATGAGGTGTTACTTTGAAAGCTGTAAGGGACTCTAAGATGTAACACTAACTCATAAATAAGCTGGGTTTACCAGAGGACAAAATACGTTTATTTTGTCGACATATTTCCGTAACTCGACTTTGGCACTGAAAAAAATGTGCCACATTTCATAGAGCTTGAGGCAGGCTTGAAAAACTTCAGTCAAGTCAGATTGTAAAAAAGATTAAAAATTAGGTGAAGTGCACACTTGGTAACTTCTAACTTCATCAAGTTCATCTTACAAGTATTGAAAATAGATACATTTTGCATCAATATTTTGAAGGCATTAGCACCTTTTTAATCTAAATTTTCCCATTTTACAACATCAGTGGTCTTCTCTTAACAATAACAATAACAATCCTAATGTGGTATTAAAGGTACTGGTGGAGTAGATCATTTGCAGCTATCCAACAAGTAACTGACCAAATTATTGTGAAAAAGCTTACTTGGTTTAAAGATAGTAATGACACTAAACTCCCTGTGCATTTTTTTTCCCTTCTGGCATGGTGTCATTTTGAAGAAAACAACAAAAGAAGGTCATTTCCAAAGATGTGTCAAGTGACATATTTCTGGAAGTTTCCATGAATCTGCCCCTCAAGTGTTCTAATTTGTAGTTGGTTTGCAATTGGGCAAATCCGTGAATGGGTGATGACCGGCTGAATGAGAATTATGTCCTGAACGCTGATTTCGGGATTGTGTCACGTGAGGGCGCAATTCAAAATATGACTCGGCAACTTTGGAATTGAAATCGAGATCTAAAATATTGTGTTTATGTTTGGCCTGTTTTGTCGACACATACAGTATTCACAGAGCTAGAACTCCATCAGATTAAATATGCATCCCTCTTTAGATTTTGAGCACTTTTGTTGGTTCAGAGGGGAAAAAATGCAAAAATTACAAATGGTCTACTCTGTAACCTTTAAAAAGACTAGGGACTTCAGTATCACGTAAGAATCAAACAACATTTCATATTTCAAACATTTGCTCAAGATTTACACAGTGCGCATTCCAGCACTGATTTACATCCTTATTATCGCCATACTCTGGATTCACTTTCCAAGGCACATATTTCACCACAAATAAATATCCCTATCACAAACTCCAAGGACAAAAATAGTATGACTGTGGATACTTTAAGTCTACATGATGAAGATTTACATCGGATGGTACACTGATGCCATCTTAAAAATTCTATAAATGAGTTTTAAGTAAATAGAGGAAGGTTGTGGACTAGAGAGCAAGGTCATTTGCTGTGGTAGAGTTGGAGGAATAAGGACTGAGAAAAAACTGTCTCTGTTTTGAAAATTCAAGGGCAGGTGCAATAATTTTATTTTATTTAAAAAAAAAACTAAAAAACATGTTTTTGCCCATATTTGGTGTTTTTAATTTTCTTGGAATAAAGTGCATTTTTTTTCCTGAAAAAGGGATGCAAAAACGTCGATAATATTTTCTGAAACTTAATTAAGAATCGATTTGTAATGCACTCATTGTCTACATTTGTTAATTTTATTTGCTCCACGCAGGATATGTCTGGGGCGAATGAGTCAGAATGGATTGTCAATTAACGGTGGGGGGGGGGGGGGGGGGGGGGGGGGGAAGGGGGGGGGGAAGGGGGGGGGGGTCTGACAGACAAGAGCTAGCTACAAACATCATGCAGGTTAAGGTGAGGGGTGGGGGAGGGCCAGCCTCACAAAGACAATGGAGGAATAAACAAGGCACGGCAAGGCTAGTAAAGCTGGTTCCAGAGAGTACAAGTCTATTCAACTGATGGGTAAGTCCAAGAAATGGTCCCATTTTTGTCCCATATGTAACACCATGCTTTACTTTAATTACATAATCATTGCAAAGACTAACAACATAAAATTCTTGTGGCAATTCTCCCTGCAGATGCCCAACAGTAGAATCAAAACCACTGAAATCCATGAATACATGTATCTTAGAGGGTCAAACTTTCATTACGCATGGGAACAGCGTGCGCGAATTATTGGACTTGTCCTGATTCAAAATGGCTGTTTTGCACGGCACAGCCTCTCAACCGTGGTCCATAGTAGGGTTGGAGTTTAGTTATCCGTGTAAGCACCGGACCCTTGTATAAGTCGTGCATGATTCTTTAAGTATGAAAGGTGTCCCCAAAATCTCTGTGTTGGACCATGGTCAAACGTGGAGAGTTTTGGATAGTGTGAAAGGGCCTTGATTGTAGGAAACCACAAAGGCAGCGAGTGAATCACAAAGACTTCTGCGAATTGAACTGGTTTAGCCTCATCAGTCAAATCGGCCCTAATTTAATCTGACGCCTGATGATTCGGAGCGGTTGACACTTGGTCAATGGACAGACGATGGGATGACTACCATTGATCACCTAAAGCTGGCGCCATTTCCGTGGAAATCACAAAAGGACATCAACAATTGTCAGAGGGTCACCGAAGTTCAAACTCGGGCCTGGCCAGGGTTTTCAGACATGGGATAGAATTGACAGGGCTGGATTCATTATTGAGATAGGAGGACTTTAGAAAAAGAGGACTTAGACTCTTTTACGCCTTTGCCTAATTCTGGATGACGAATGCAAAGTTTGGCTTTTTGCTTGGATTTCTAAACAAACTTTAAACTTCTTCGTCTTTACATGGTATAACTGATGTTTCACATTTCTGCTGTTGGTCGAAGGAGCCCAGAGTGCGTACCTACTACCTGAGTGCGACTCGCGTGAACCTGGTGCCACCGCACAAAATGGCTGCCATCGGGTTTGTCTAATTTTCAAATTACAAATGCGTCTCAAATTAAGAGCACGTGCGCATAAGCATAGTGCCACCATGCTTGGAAATGGCAACTGCGCATAAGCTACCCCACTGAGTCCAGAAGTGCATGCAGCAATGTGCAGTGAGTGACTGTGCAATTGTCAACCACTTTCAATAAATTTTCTAGCCACACTTTATCACTTGTCAAGACCTATAAAGCCTAATCATTTGTAATAGTTTGTGATCAATTACATGATCTCAACCAATTAGATTTAAATTTGTCCGCCAATCCCTGTCTGTGAATCGCCCACCGAAGTGTCAAGAATCTAATAATTTAATTTAGTAAGTCTCAAAGTTTATCACCTGGACAATGTCCGACAGATAGTTAAACATCAGAGGAACCGGTTTTGGCAGTTTTCAGGCCCGCTTAACAATGCTTCCATAAATTTCAGTTTATTGGAGCGTGATATTATCCATGCACGCAGATGAAAATCTGGAGTGATTTTCTAAAGGAATCTTGGGGGCCATAAAAGACTCAACAAGAATGCATTGAGAAGTTTATGATGTCTTGGTTATTGTCAGAATGGTCTGGAAGTTTCACTTTTGAAATGTTACGCTCTTGAATAAAGTTCTTGATATATCAGAAACCGAGTCTTATCTCAAAAACAAGAAATTTTGCTTCTGATAGATGAGTTTCAGAGGGACACTTTTATATTTTTAAATTTTGGGAAGATAAAACCGACTGTCTTCGGAAAGGAAAAGAAACATTTTGAACTGATAATTAAGACACCCATTTTCAATTGCTTGCTAAGGCCCTGATCCAAGATCTTACCTGACTAGTGTTGTGGAGAAGACGGTCCTCGTGAGGGTATAGATAGGGCGTCATAGCCTCGTCGTACAAACGGACAAACTTCTTGCCGACGACTTGGGCTAAGCAGTTATGCTTAGGGTCGGTATGGAGAGGGGAGACGGTGCCCGCCGGCCCAAACCAGGCATTGATGTCCACGTTACTGTCTGGATCATCGGTCTCGGTGTCAGGGTTAGAGTCTGCTTGGACTGAAGAGGATGGGTTTGGATTCTCTCCCGCATCCTCTGCGTTGTCATGGAGACAGCAGTAGTCTGGGATGCAGATGTCATCCCTCAGTTCTGGAATCTGAAAAAAAATCGACGAAAAATTATTTACTGACAAAAAAAAAAATTCTGATCACAGTTTGTTGATTTTAAGCTGGTCTGTTTCTTTTCCTGAATTGGAAAATTATGAAGGTTGTTTCTCAAAATGTCTGTATTAATCAGAAAAACTGTTTTTCAGTGAGACATATTATCATTTCTTATATGTTCTTTGAAAAGAAATCCATTAGTAACAGCAATTTTTTTACACACAAATTCAAATCCATTCAATGTTTATTCAATAAAAATCAACATTTGCCGCACAAAGCCAAATTGCAGATGGATTTACAAACACTGAAAGTGGAAAGAAAATAATCAATTCTCCGGAAACACTGTACATGTATTTCTGTAAAAATTTGTAAATCGAAACCCTAACTTTATTTTTAGTTCTTTATAAAACAGAAAATCACGGGAAAAGTTGTGTGTGCTAATATTGGCTGTCAAAATTACCCCATTCAATCAATCAACCACTTATGAAAATAAGTTAATTAAAGTTGTCTTACAGGTAATTGTTCATTGCTCAAGTAATTACAAAAAATTACCCTTAATTCCCAAAGACCAATTGGAGGAAATTAATGCTGTCGGCACTAACACTCAAGGTGAAAAAACAGCAGTTTATAATGTGTTAGACTTCTACTCCTCTTTCCTTCTTTCCAAGTTTTATCCAGAAAATAAATTTTGCCCGAGGCAACTCACTAATATTTTGAATTATTCAAAGAACCCAAAAATGTTGTGTCAGTTATGGGTAAGACAAGCCAGCTGTGATTTGTCATGTGTCATATTTTTTCCCTTTCAATTGAGATAAAATTGAGACATATTGCACTTTATAAAAGCAGAGTTATGATATGCATATATATTTTTGACTCTTCTTCATAACTCCTTCAGAATAGTTATGTGAAGTTTATTTGTTTATTTTATTTTATTTATTTCTTATTTTAACTGGGTAACCCATTCAGTGGAATCCACTGATCTCCCATGGGTTCCAGTAAAGAGAAGACAATGTGAAGAAGTTAAGGTTTTAGCTGTGAGAGGAAAATCCCAGAAGAATGTTCTGAGGAAAATCCACGGAATCAGGTAGGGACTGAAAACCAAATTCACATATTGGCCCAGGCGGGATTCGAACGTGGGTCACAGTGGTGGAAGTCGAGGAAAGTACCGCTACGCCAACCTGACTTCCCTAAAGTTTGCTCCGGTTCCTGCCGAACACATGGGGAAGGTGGATGGGCGGGTTGGGGTTGCAAGGGTAAGGAAAAGGTGTCTAGGGCTCCTCCATTTGAAAGAAGTGACTTACATTTTGTAAAAACACTTAATTTGTTACTCATTCACTCATAACTACAAACATAAATTGTACATACTGTACATGTACTATGGAAATACTTTGTGAGCTCTGAAGAAATGACATTGCCCAAAATTAAAGAGGAGATACAACATTTGCAAACATCACAAAACGAAATGATCAAATTATCACGAAATACCTTAATGGATTGTTAGGGAATGACAGTCTAAAGCATCCTGTAAAATCATGGCTCCTGGTGTGCTGTCATTTTCAAGATAAATGGGATTTTTCCAACGTTGGTCGGCCAACCAGCATTGGAGAAAACTGGCTTTTCTCAAAAACTGTTCCTAATTTTTAATAAGTAGTTATTCCCTGTTTTCTTTGCAATTGATTACACACCTGTGAAGGGGTATTTTACACACCTGTGAAGGGGTATAAGCCTGCTAGACTGATTTTCTGACCTTACAATTCCCCAAAGTCTATAAATTGCTCTGTTACATCTTAAATGGGGGTCAGGGAACCAGACTACAAGCACATGATTGGTTTTCTTGGTTTTTCCAGCATCTACAAGCCCAAATCATGAAACAAGTCATTTTAACAATATTTGCTAAAAAAAAAAACTAATCCTCCAAATCCATTTATTTCTGAAAATTGCAGCAAAAGCAAATGTTGTACATTCCCTTTAACATTGCCAAAGTAGCTATGAATAAGTTTCCATTAATGAACAGAAACTAGGACACAGGTTACCAATCACTTCCAGAACGAAACTGACAAACTGTCATCGTTTTTATAAATAGACGGAAGTTTCCACAATAATGATGCATCGTTTCTGTCAAATGTGAAATTCCTGTCCCGATGTGGAAACTGTAACATGTTTCCAGATATTTCTCGGTGATTTTTATGAATTGTTCGATCACCCTTCACGTCCCACGTCACTCCTCTTTGGTTCCAAGGTAGGGTAGGGGACACCCCTTGTTGATTTCAGGCAGAGAGAGGAAGCTAACAACTGAGTCAGACCTCGTTAATCAAACGTGATCATGATTGATCACTTTCCGGTGCTAATATAAAATTTTGCAGCGATATTAACGGCGAATCTGTGTCACAGTTAAGAATGTGGGTCAAATCAATTGGGTAATTTGTGCCCTTCCAAAGACTTAAGTTCAAACAATAAAATGAAAAGTGAGGGCTTTTTCGCACTACTGTCTAACTAAAGTATGTTGACATCAACTCGGGTTGACCATCAGCGGAACTGGTCTTGTGTAGGCAAGGCATGCTGTCCACACTTATACCGGGGTGTACGCGGGTCGGCTGTAGATTTGGGCTTTTCTACCTGGGTGCTCTACCCTGGGTAGAGTCTCTCACCCTGGGTCCTGACCAGGGTTGGATTTTAGTTTCACCCATGTGGAGAAGTGTGTAAGCCATGTTTGATTCTTACTGACATGAAAATGGTTCCCGAAACCTCTGCGTTGGAGCAAGGTCCAATAATACAACTTCAGGAATCACTGCTAATAAAGTGCATTTAAGAAAGCAAACTGTAGCCAAAACTAAGACAACATGGGGTGCTGCTTAGCACTAATACACATAATACACAGTACGGAATATAAGCAACCTACGCCCTGAAGATAGACACAGCTAGTCCAAAAATTTGGCAAAAAACTACTGGTGAGTATTACTAATATTTATATTTTCCTTACTTGTAGCCAAAACTAGTAAGAAATAGAACCAATATTATTTGGTCACAAAACAATCACAATGATAGTCCAGTTTGTGAATCTGTTGCATTATAATAAATCAAATGACACACAATTTGGTACTTTTTTTTCTGACTGGATATGTCACATTAAATGCAGACAAATTGCACTGAACAAGACTCCTGACTTGATAATCTCCGGGGGGAAATCCCCATTATAGACTTGTCAGCACAAACATATTTCCCAACGAGTGTGAAGCCCTCATGAGAAAATCCACAAAGGTGGTGAAATATCCCACAAGAAAAATGTATCTTTCAACCATAGATACAACTTTCAACCATCGGCCAACAGAAAAAAAAAGAGTTGGGTCTTCTCTCATCAGTTTTAGATGATCCACAAGGGAGATATGACTCCAGTAAGTTTCTTGGGAGCTGTTAGCAATTTCGTCATCAATTCTTAAGTTGGTTTCCCTCTGAGATGAGTGAGGGATTCAGGTTTGGGAAGTGACAGGTTTGGTCTTTTGGTGTTAAACATCCTATGCAAACATGCATTCTATGCCAAGTAGTCTGTTGCAGTCAAAATCAATCAAGTGACTGTTTACAACAGTTAAGAGCTCCCAGCCTACATAAAGCAGGATTGACTGGCTGTGACTGTTTATGTTACTTGATAAGGCTATGATTTGACTGTAGGTGATTGATAAGACAGCTGTGCCTGTCACTTGCCTGTTTTTGTCTGTTGACTGAATTTGACCAGTCACAGTGCGTGCTAAAAAATATGATTTGACTGTTGGTGACTAGCCTGTGTAAAAGGCATGGCTGGGGAAGAGGACTGATTTTTTGACTGTCTGTGACTTTTCGGATAGAGGAGGGCTCAAGATAATAGCCTACTACAGAAAATGCTGCTCACTAGAAAGGAGGACAATCTAATTTGGGAGGGATACATTTTTTTTAAAGTAGGCATGCAACTGGGAAATCACAAAAAAAGAGGAAATTCAAATTTTTTCCCAGACTTTGTACAGTGTTTTTCTATTTTCAATGGCTCACATGTGAAGTAAAAAAAGAGGAATTCAGCTAATCTGAGGAAAAGTTGCATGCCTGTTAAAGGGGGGGGGGGGGAGAGAAACGTGTCTTCACGTCATCCTACATGTAGTCTGGCAAAGCTTAAACAAATTGTTGACAGATTTGTATCGATGGTTGCCATCACTCAGTTATGACTATGTTTCTCAATGTCTGGATTGGACGGGAGGGGAACGACCTAAGCGGGAAAGTTGATAGAGGAAATCTGTTAGCAGACTCTGACAGTTACAGGTGTCTTTTTTCTCACATATTGGCCCAGTGAGTTGTCTCTGAGAAAAAAAACGAAGTCTACTGGGACACTGAGTGGGCCCTGAGACTAAAAAGTGTGATTTTTTGTCTGACCGATTTCTTTGGGCTGATAATGATATTCGAGAGCGTTGCTTTGGGATGATGGGAATTGTTCTTTCTTTCATTTTTTTTCAAACAGTTTTGTTTGGTTGATGCTGGGGCATGACTTGGCCTTCGAACAACAAACGAGGGGGCCGTGGAATCAGCAACAGTGAATAAAAGTTGGTTAAGATTGAATTCTTGTGGGGATTTTGAAGTGTTGCTGTTGTTGGCAATGACCTTTATAAGCCTACTGGGTGAATGAACCACCAGCTAGAGAGATGCAATGTAATCCATACGCACGCGGCAGACCAACTCAGCCACTCTAGGGCTATTAAACGGAATATACAACATTTGCAAACATCAAAAACAAAACTACTAACTATAGTCTCAAGCATCCTGTGAAATCATGGCACCTGGTGAGCTGCCACTTTCATCAGTTTCAAGAAAAGTGGAATCTTTGTATCCATGTCGGCCGACCATCGTTAGAAAAAAAAAATAAAAATTAAAGTTTGGCATGGCAACGGCCCGGCATTAAGAACACTGCCATATATATAGAACGAGGACATCACGGCAGACCTAGCTGTCATGCCAAATGATGGTGTCGTGCTAAAGGATGGTGTCGCGCCAAACACAATTTGCCGAGCCAAATGGTTCTAAACGCCGTGCTCCAAGTCAAAGAAATTGAAATTGGAACAGCTGCAAGTACCGCATTTAGAACAGGCCTAGCAGGTTAAAGAAGTTGTTCATTTCATCACAAGAGTGTACATAGTGCATGTGGTCATGCACAAAAGGCCTTTCACATTTGACAAATCTCGGGGTTGATGCAGGGTTGGAACACAGTTGAAAACATGTGGCGTTTCACACCTGAATATTTTCAAACCCACACCAACCCTGCGTCAACCCAGAGATTGATTTCTCACCGGGTTGAACTAAACCCTGCTCCACACCAGGGATGACATTTTCAAAACCGGGTTGAAAGAACTCTTGCCAGGGTTCAAAACAGTAGTAACCAAATGAAATAAGCTTGGTTTGCATGAAACGAGTGTGACACAATCAGGGTTGAATACAGGGTAAATAAAGAAGTCAACCCGGGCAGCACTGGGTTCACCCAGGGTTGAGTTCAACCCTGGTTGAGAGGCTCTACTGTGAAGAGGCTTAAAGTCTATTCGTCATCAATTTTAAGCACACGGAGTTAACAAGAAACTGTCTATGCTGATAAAAATGAACAAAACTACCCCCAGAAATTTCAGGAGCTGTCTCCACCACTTACAACTGCTGGAGGAGAACTTGAAGGACACTGTCTTAACTCCAAGGAAACTGTGGGTTTAATTATCACAACATGGCAAATTAGCCATTGTTGCCCGAACACCAGCAGATCCTAATTACCCGTAAGGGAATGTGGAAGAAATGAACAAGTCAGGAAGAATCTAATGTGACAGGCAGATGTAAGGAACCAGGAGGTTCTTCTTATAATTGTAACAATCTGAGATGGATTTCGGAACGGGATCATGAGGGAACCACCTTGCATTATCAACCTAATAAAGGCTGACAAGACGTCCATCCTGACGCGTTACAGGGCAATCATCAGGCTGAAGGATGGAAGACTCGAGGAATCGGAAATAACTACATGTGATTGGGATGGAATCGGGAAAACAAACCAGTATGCCAATCTGGGTTTGATCTTACTCTTCCCAACCTTTTGTTCATGGCAGAGAATCTTTCTAAATGTCGTTGAGTATATTACAGTGTATATTCACGTCAGATCTTCTAAGTTTTAACTTCTGCAGTGTTTTTCTGGGCCAAATTCACGGCACTACTAAGCGCAGAAAATGGGTTACCAGCCAAAATGGCATGTGGTTTCTACTGCTTGTGACTGGTTTCCCGCTGATTTTGGCTAAGCGTGTTAACTTGCAAGCCTATTTCCTGATTTAGATTTGTGCCAAGGCAATCCATAAAAAGGGCATGCAACTCACGCTATCCTCTTTGCGCACTGTCATAGAGGGCGCTGTTTGTGTAGTCAGTGCACTGACACGACAGAGTCTACATTCATTACTTTACAAGCATTCATGAACCGGAATCACTCCTAATCAGAAACTACTGACCTATCCTTGTACTTTATTCCCCGCCTCCATCATATATCACGTCTTAAAGAGAAAACGGCAAGTCGTTCAACCTTTTGGTTTCCCTCGGGCCAAAAATGTGCCGAGTTTGTAACTTTTGCCCGCATGTGTCACGCACCCAGGGATTTGTTATACAGTTATGTTACCAGATGAAAGACACTTGTCAAAATAGAAAATGATGAATACCACTGTAATTCCATCGTCATGTCCTGGGGTCAAGTTGTCAAAGTTTCTAAGCATGGACATTTTACCTAAGTACAGAAAAATCTGCTTAAAAAAATCACACACTTAAAGGGAAAATACAACATTTGCAAACATCAAAAAATAAAACTACCAAATCATTTTGAAACACCTTGCTGGACTGTTAGTGAATGACAGTGTAAAGCATCCTGTAAAATCATGGCACCTGGTATACTGTCATTTTCAAGAAAAGTGCTATTTTTGTACCAATTTCCAACGCTGATCGGCCGATCAGCGTTGGAAAAAACTGGCTTTTTTTTCAAATACTGGCCCCAATTGACCATCGCACTTGTTTGCAATCGATTACACACACTGTGAACGGGTACAAGCCAGCTAGACTGGTTCCCTGACCTTACAATTCCCCAATGTATGTAAACTGCTCTGTTTCTTCTTCAATGGAGTCAGGGAACCAGACTACAGGAAAATGATTGTTTTTCTTGGTTTTTATAGCATTTTCGAACCCAAAACTTCAAAAAAGTCAGTGTAACTATATTTGCTATATATTTCCAACCCCCCCAATTCCATCCATTTCTGAAAATTACAGCAAAAGCAAATGATGTATTCCCTTTAACGGCCTTTTTACATTATCGTCCCCTTTACCTGGGTACCATCAAACGTGGGTTAGCAATGAACATGGCAGGCAGGCCTACATGGGGAAGTCGGCCGTAGATTTTTGATTTCTACCCAGGTAGAGCCTCTCAACCCTGATCCAGACCTGGATTTTACCCGTGAAGAGCGCTTGACCCATGTAGAAGGCTTGTTGGATTCTTGCTAGCGTAAAACGGGTTCCCCTAAATATCCTTGTTGGACCCGGGTCCAACACAAGAGATTTTGGATAGTGTGGAAGGTCCTTATCAGCCTGCAGGCGAACATACAGTACGTGTTTCGGGTGCAAACCTACCGGTATGTTCCCCTATACCTATGTTCCCCAACCCTAACCCTAACCATTTAACCCTAACCCTAAGGATTCTGTGGAACATTGGTATTGGGGAACATCGGGTAGACCCCACATGTTTCTTGTGAATGGTGCTGTGCTGATTGCTTATAAGATTAAAAATTTGAAATTCTTTATTCTTTATTAAATTGAGCTTACTGCCGGTTACTGTTGTAGCTAAGTAAAAGGTCATTTGGTAAATATTCCGCAGGACTAGTTCTCAACAGAATTTGGATTAGGAGAGTTTGTTTGTTGGGCAATAATTTCTGCTTAGCGCCTCCCCAAAATTGGCCCCAAGGTGCTTCACCTAGAAATGACACACTAACACTTTCAAAATTCAAGCGAGAATTAATAAAAAGGGGGCACCTGAAAAACGTTAATGCACAACTTCAATCTAATAGGACAATATGGCTGTCAGGCTAGGCAACAGGTACTATGAAAGAGGGCTAATGCTGAAATTCCACTCACTTTATCCTGCGGCGTTAAGAATCGGAACAGGGTACAAACCTTTACAAAGTATGATATTCTGTTTAAATTTTTTCTTTCAAATGAACCTGAAATTGAATGTTTGGGGGAGGGATAATAGGTATTGTAAGTGATTTGGGCAATGTCAGAATGATTGAGTGATCGTAATAAACATTTTCATGGAGTCATTTTTTTTTCTTCCTGGGGCAGGTGGCTTTTCATATTAGATTGAATCGTAACTTTCCAGATGTCTTTAAGCCAGTAGGCGAAGGGTACAATAATTTCCAGCGATTTGTAGTGATTTTGTTCTCAATGATGCCAATTTGTTGCCCGCAATTACACAGTGTACCGCAGCTGTTAAATGGCCCCCTTGAGGAACAGAGGCTTGAAATGGAACTGATTGGATTTGACTATAAAATGAACCATGGAGTCTGGAAATAACAGGGGTGTGAGTGACCACTGATAAAAATAGCTGAAAACAGTTGTAAAAGGTGTAAAAAAAAAGCTGAACTTTGGAAATCTCCTATACTTTTGTACACAGCAAGTGAGGGGAAAAAAAGCTGAAATCCAAAACAAAAAAAGCTGAAATCAGCTTTAAAGCTGCGATTTCACACCCCTGAAATAATATCAGGTGCCTATGTGGCTTCAATTAATTTTGTTTGTAGGAAATGTGAAAATGAATAAAACTGCTGCAAACAGGCTTACTGACTGAATTGACCTGAAATATACAAATCAACAAAATCAGATGACCCAGTGTTTCGGGTCTCAAAGCCCCCCCCCCCCCAAAAAAAAAATTCACTTTCTTTTTAGGAAATGTAAGAAGTGCCACTTAAAGGGAATGTAAAACATTTGCTTTTGTTGCAATTTTCAGAAATAAATGGATTTGGAGGATTAGTATGTTATATAAAATATTGTTAAACTGACTTGTTTCATGTTTTGGGCTTGTAGATGAAACGAAGCAATTAATACACTTTAGGGAATTGTAAGGTCAGAGAATCAGTCTAGCAGGCTTGTACCCCTTCACAGGTGTGTGATCAATTGCAAAGAAAAGTCAGAATAACTAAGTATGAAAAATTAAGAACGGTTTTTGAAAAAAAGCCAGTTTTCTCCAACGCTGGTCGGCCGACCAGCGTTGGAAAAATACAGTTTTTCTTGAAAATGTCAGCCCACAAGGAGCCACGATTTTAAAGGATGCTTAAAACTGTCCGTCCCTAACAATTCAGTAAGGTATTTCGTGGTAATATGATCATTTCGTTTTTTGATGTTTGCAAATGTTGTATTTTCCCTTTAATGACAAACGATTTGCATGTTTTACTGTAAAGGTTGGACTGATAGCGTCAGTTGGCAGGAAAGGTGGCAAGCACGGACAGACGAGCTTTGGCAGAGAACAGCAAAGACGCACAGAGAGACAACAGTTGACACCGACAGAGCGACACGCTTGCACACTTGCAAACAGACCCCTAGCTTGCATCTGACATCACAAAGGTGGACAGGTCTCTGTTCCTCTGTGATACGCGAAGGGACAGTTTGTATTTGTATTGCCACTGAATTTAAAGCTATACAACATTTGTTTTGCTGTAATTTTCAGAAATGGATGGATTTGGGGGTTAGTGTTTTATAACAAATATTGTTAAACTGCCCTAGCTGTTTAAAGTTTTGTGTTCACAGATGCTGGAGAAACCAAGAAAAAACAAAAGCTGTTTAAGTAGTCTGGTTCCCTGACCCCACGTCAGACAAAACAGAGCAAGTTATAGACGTCGGAGAATTGTCAGGTCAGGGAACCAGACTAGCTGGCTTGCATCCGTTCACGGATGTGTAACCGACTGCAAACAAAATGTGGACTAACTAACTTTGGTAAATTGGGGGCAGCAGTCGAAAAAAAGGTCATTTTTTTCCAATGATGGTTGGCTAACCATCGTTAGAAATTGATAAAAAAAATTCCACTTTTCTTGAAAATGACAGCACACCGGGTGCCATGATTTTACAGGATGTCTGAGACAATTATTCACTTACAGTCTAGTCAGGGTTTTCATAATAATTTGGTAGTTTTTTTGTTTGTTGATGTTTGCAAACATTGTATATTACCTTTAAATAATGAAAACTACATGTACCTTCAGTGAGGGCGCATTCTGCAACAGGTCTATAAGCCTGATGAGGAAAACCTTTGGCCAACGACTTCAAAAAAGGACGGGAACTTGAATACACAGTCATTTTCCGAAATTATGAAACACTTTCCGGGGATACCATCACGCACATCCCGACTTTGGCAACCGCAATATACCGCCCCCTGGGGCCTGCTTGGGGAAAAGTCGGTAATTCTCCACGTCCCGATGTGAGTAATTAGATTAAGCCAACGCAGATCAGAAATGAAACGAGACCCCAGGTAGGGGATTCCCCAGGGTGGGGATTCCCCAGGGTGGGGTAGTTGAGGAATTTACACTCCGAAAGACCCTGTGCATATCTGGGCAGAACTTTGTAACAGTTTCTGTTTGTGAAATTTGACTTGAAACTTCCTGAACATTATATCTGGATCATTTCAATCATGGTCTGATTTGGTGGGGTTGAGAAAAACGTTTGGGCCGTTTTTCCAGTTTTTCAAACAGGATTTAATTACAGGATGAACCATTGTCACACTTTTGGGGAAAATCAAACTTACCTAAGGGCAAGTAATACAAAGTTGAGAAAATCGAAACTCTCCTGACCAAAATTTGTACAGTACACACTGCATGACTTTAGTTTCAAAGTTCCTAACATTGTGATATTCAGTGTGCAGTTATGTACATTTAAGTATGCATTGAAAAAAATTTAAAAATGCAAAAAAACCTCATTTTGGCCCTAAAATCAAACTTCACGAAATTAAGTCAAATGTTCACACAAGGTGGGTAGAGGCCAGAAATGAATCCTCGAGAGATTTCAGCTCACTACAGTCCACATCCAGGGAGAAAAGAAACGTTTCATTTTTTTTACCCAAATGTCCCAAATCTAAAAAATCTCCATATCCGTGATTCCGTGGTCATCAAAAATACTCATTTTTGACAAAAATCCAACTTCACACAAAATTAAGTCAAACGTTCACACACTGGGGCACAAATATGAGTAAGTTTGTATATTTATCAAAATTAAGATGGTCAACTAGGGTAGCTTTTGACAATTCCAGTACCTGATGTACCCAATAGGAGGCATGACCACAAGAAATATACAACTTCCTTTATAATTAGGACAAATGGGTCTTTTAAAGGGAATATACATCATTTGCTTTTGCTGTAATTTTCAGAAATGGATGGAATTGGGGGGTTGAAAATATAGCGAATATAGTTACACTGACTTTTTTGAGGTTTTGGGTTTGAAAATGCTATAAAAACCAAGAAAAACAATCATTTTCCTGAAGTCTGGTTCCCTGACTCCATTTAAGAAGAAACAGAGCAGTTTACATACATTGGGGAATTGTAAGGTCAGGGAACCAGTCTAGCTGGCTTGTACCCGTTCATAGGTGTGTAATCGATTGCAAACAAGTGCGATGGTCAACTGGGGCCAGTATTTGAAAAAAAGCCAGTTTTTTCCAACGCTGATCGGCCGATCAGCGTTGGAAATTGATAAAAAAAATACCACTTTTCTTGAAAATGACAGTATACCAGGTGCCATGATTTTACAGGATGCTTTACACTGTCATTCACTAACAGTTCAGCAAGGTATTTCAAAATGATTTGGTAGTTTTATTTTTGATGTTTGCAAATGTTGTATTTTCCCTTTAACCGTGGCACAATTACGAGTTAGTTTGTATCATTTATCACAATTAAGAAACTAGATCATCATGCAGTCAGTGTCTTGGTGAATCAACTGCAAATGTTAACAAATTACGCCAGAGGTTGCTAAAGACTTGGCCTTGACTTGTTGCTTTGCACGCAACCTAGCTCATCACATATATCCGTTATGTTTCAGTTTGCGTTTTTTTTCCCCCTAAGATTGGAAACGAAATCCTAGCGTGTGGATTTAAACATTTGAGTGACATTTCATGAGTGATTTGATCGGAAATACAAACTGACTTGGTTGAGTCAAATGAATGTTTTTTACAGGATATGGAAGGTTTCCAGCGACTTGGCGTGTCAGACAACTTGCTGGAGTCTTGAGTGATTCATTCAACACCCAACTTATGTTCCTTTGAGCATGTTCATTTGCAAGTAGTGGCACGCACAGCAACATACGGTACATGTAAAGCATTTCCACACTAACATCTGGCCTAACCATGCTGAAATAGTGGGGTGCTGTGGTCCAATGGTTACGGTGTTCGACTCGTGTGCCGTGGTACATGGGTTCGAATCCTAACTGTGGGAACATGGTGCTTGTGCTCTCGAGCAAGGCAGTTTACCATTATTGCTTCGTCCTTCGGATGGGACGTAAAAGCCGTAGGTCCCGTGTAACACTTATCGCTATTAAGAGAAGGGGTTTGCCCCTGTGTTTCT